ACTGTTTCAGCTTTGTTTTGGGACTGTACTGCATTAGACTGACATAACAAAATGCACCAAGCATTGTTTCTGACAGAACAACATGTTTTTGTGACCAAGCTGATAACCAAACATTACAGAGCAGAGATCGACCACTTCCAGCCACTAAGATAGCACAGCGCTGCTGTCACACTGACAGCCACTAATCGAAACAGACTGTGGCGCACCTCCAAACCAGTGTACTTTATGGGAGTTCTACAGGTTGTAAGGTGAGATAATATTTAGCCGAGGGTGGAAGAGACTTGTGGTGGGAGTTCTGGAGGTGCATCAGCCCAACTGTGGGAGAAATCCAGATGTTTGCCATGCAAAAACTCAGGCAGTCATTAATAACAAGTTTAAATTGGTCAGTCTAGGGCCTCCTTTGGAACCCCACCTCCTGTTCCCATAACTTCCTTTCACATTTTCTTTCTGGGAGGCAATGTTTAACCAAGCCATTCCCCAAGTCAAGAGTGCTACAACCCACTTAAAAACCACAGGCTCTCATGGGACTCACCCAAACTTAACTCTTCGCTCTAATTGTGATAAAAAGAAAGCATCCTAATACATACCAGCCCTCATGGCCTCACAAAAGGGCGAGGTTTGCCATCAGATCTTTTTTAAACTATGTGTTTGTTTGTTTTTAAATATTATTTTTATACCACTAGGTCAAGACAGCCATACCCCAAGGCATTCTCACGCTCCAACTCAACCTTCCAAAAATATAACAGGAAGTAGTGCGTTAGTCATGAAGACAGGGGTTAGTGAAAGGCAAGTAGAAGGTTGGTGAAACAGTGGGTCTAAAGGATTTTATTGCCATATTTGTCAGCATGTGTATCCCTCCATGCAGCATGCAGCAGTGCTTTCTCACCACTGCTGTACTTTTAGCAGTCTTCCAGATCCAGTTCCAGTTGTATAAATAACAGCAAAAGTAACTAGAAACCAGAATTGCACTGATGAATACCTGGTAGGCAAAACCTCCTTCTTGACCAATTGTTGCTTTGTATATTTCATGACCATGCACACCTCTGTACAAGGAGAATAAAAGTGTCTAAAGTTTTGTAGTAGTGTCTTAGGCCTTTTCCAGACCGCACAGCGATGTATGCCGACCTATATTCACTGTGTGTGTAGTGGTAATTCAATTCAATTCAAGTTTATTTATATAGCACCAAATCACAACAACAGTCGCCTCAAGGTGCTTTATATTGTACAGTAGATCGTACAATAATGGGGATAGGGTAGGTAGTAGTTTCTGTTACATAGGTAGTCCCTATGTTGCAGAAACGTGTTTATTTATTGGAAAGAGGTCGTTTCTACATTGCTTAGCACTGTGTTTTACCTGTCTTTTAGCACTTACAGACAGGGGTTGTGTTGTGCTGATGGGCCAACATTACACCAAGAAAAAGGGTGAAATGTTTTTACACTGAAATGATGTAGCACCTCTGTTAAACCGTCATCTAACGTTGCTTTAAAAAGAAAACATTCCTACATTATCCTATAATAGATAATAGTGAAGAAAACAAATTAAGAAAAACATGGAAACACCGCTAAAATTCAATGTGTGGGCTAAAAATAATCCAGACAAATCTATAACCTATTTTAAAACCTTAAAACACTGAAGATGGTAGAACACCATAAACTTAATCAATGACAAGAATACTTTTGTATCTTGATATATTTTAAAACACATTCAATCACACATTCATGTTTCACAGCAGCTGTAGCTGAAGAAGACGCCCGTGCAGAATAATAAAAAGGAACGGGGCCAGCTGGACTGCAGAGGCTATTAATGTTTGCAGACAAGAGCAAAAGTGTGCCAAACTTTGAAATGTTAAATACAATAAATGTCTTGGCACAGTGGATGTGTTCTCTCGTCAGCGACGCTGGTCCACTATCTGACCGAGGTCTGAACATTTGTGCACATCTGTCTGTGGATGGAAGTCAGGGAAAAGAAGCTACTACATGAAATTATGATTTCAGTTGGGCTGACACAGAGCACAGCTAACTGCATGGATATCTTTCAGGCAGTTTTAATGGTGTATAAAATACTCTGTCTTAAAACACAAAATGCAGGAATAGAATCTGACATTGAGATCGTGAGGTGACAGGCACTGATGCCCTACAGCAAGAGGGCTTTGTGTTTAAACTAACTGGTTAGCTAGAGCATATTTGTGGAGTTTATAGGCTCTTCCACAGTCCAATGAGACACATGTTAAGTTGGAGCAGCTGTACCTCAGAAGGTAGAGCAGGTCTTTCTCTAATCAGATGGTTGGTGGTTTGATCCCTGCTGCTCCCAGTCAGAATGCCAAATATCCTAACTACTACTAACCCCAAGTTCCTTCCTGATATGTCCCATGCTCTGGGGGGCGGGGCTATGGCTTCCCACACCCTCTAGCACATAAGTGTCAAACTCATGTTTGACACTTATGTGCTTTTTTTTTTCTTTCAGTGGCTAATGACTTTTCTGCAATTCACAATTTTGTATCATCAAACACACAAACTGTAGAATTAGGTTTTAAATATAAACACAAAGTAGCATCAGGACAGCAAACATATCACAAAAGCCAAGTTTTGTTGGTGTTACACAAACAGTCTACATGTGGGTGGTGCTGTCCAAAAGCTTCGTCAGGTCCGTCCATTTAGTTACACATGTAAGAGGGATCCTGGAGATTCAGCGGGTTTGAGAACAAATCAGTTAATATGAACCTACGAGAGTCAAACTGTTACATTTTAGTTATCAAAGATTCATGATTTAAACATACTCCAACCATGTTGGTCAAATAAGAAATGCTTTGCCTTTCTGATTGAAATATCCCAGCATGTCATCAAGTTTCTGAATGCATAAAAAAAGACCAGTGTTTTACTGGCCTGGTAACAAAGATCATTTTATTACTTAAATAATATGAGGAGTAACATAGTGTATAATAGAGGAGCCAATACTTGTAGTTAGATTTATTTTTATTCATATTTTCAGGAGATAAAAAGTCTACACAATGCTGAGGAGGAAAGCCATTAACTCAGGGAAGCTGACCATTAATCTGGGAAGGGTTAAAGGCCATTTCCAACAATTGCATCTCATTCTGCAGTGAGAACAATTATTCACAAGTGGATAATATTCGAAATCACTGAGCCAGGGTTTGATGTCACAGCAAATTCACATGAAGGAACTGTAAACAAACACAAAAAAACAAAACAAAAAATTATTTGGTCTGCTTGTTCTGTTTTGCAGCCACATGATCTCGTAGTCATTGAAGCAGTCATGAGCTTTTCTAATACTGCAGCAGGACAATGACCACAAAACAGAAAATATCAAACAGAATGGTTAAAAAAACAGAAAAGAAAGTGTTGCAATGGCCCAGTCGAAGTCCAGACCATGTCGTGAAAGCTGTGGTGGGCCTTAGCAGACCTGTACATAAACACTGAACTGAACCAACGCCGTAAACAAGAGTAGGCCAAAGTCCCTCCACAACAATGTGATGAGGAGACTGATAAAGTCACACAGAAAACATCTTCTTCAAGTGGTTCTCCAAGTTACTGAGTTCATGGAGTGTACTTAGCTTTTCATACACCATTACTCCAGTTTGGCATCGTTTTTGGTAAATTATTAAAATGCGTTGTTGTTTCAGGATCTTTTGAAAGAAGTGCAGAAAGTTCAGTGTTCCAGAAACAAACACACACAGGCTTTTCTTTTTTTTTGCCTTTGTTTGTTCAACAAACCTAAAACCCAAGTTGGGAATAACAGGTATCACAATAGTGATTAACAGCTGTCTCTGTTAAGCCGAGCTCTGTGTGCGCTCATATAAACATGGGACTTTTGCACGTCATATGACTCTTCCGCATAAAGTGATCTCTTGGGTTTTTCCCCAATCGAATCACAAATGTTACCAGATGATGATGATAAATATAAAGAATATACAAAATGTAAGTTAAATGCAACATTTTTATTGATATGATGAGAGAATAATGCTGCAGAAAGTTATTAATGTGGTGTTTTATTGCACAGAGTGCTTCAATTAATATTAATTCGAGTTAGTAACTTTAGCTCTAACTGCGCCCTTAGTGCTGCTTTTTATATTGACATTGACAGCTGCACATCGGAGCTCTGAAGATTTCATTTGGACATATTTAAATACTAACTATATTAACTATACGCTAATAAAAGATATGTGTAAATCGCCTTAATTTGTCAGCAGATCAAAATGAAATTATTTTAATGACTGAAGAGGTATTCTTGATGTGTGTACAATGTTCAATGAGCTGCAACTCCGGTAGAGTAGAATCACTTCTCAAATCTAAAATCAAACCCTCTGCAAAGGACCAGATGATTTCTTATGTCCTGATAAGCAAAACCTGTGAACCAGCAGCTACTCCAGAAAGAAATTATACTCTAGCTTTAATTCTCAATGTCAGGTGAACTTGTCATTATGGCAAAAAATAAATAAATAAAAGAATTAGCCAAAGGCTTGCCTGATATGTGACCTTGTGGATGCAATACTAACAACAGACAAAATGAAACCCGGTTTAAAAATATAATATTTTGCCATAATTTAGAAATGTGGCTGTGAATATGATATTCTTATCATTAGAAAGGAAGAAATCTAGGACCTTACCTGTTACACATAGAAGCTGACAAGTTTCTGTGTCTGTTCAAGCAGTTTTAAATTTAAAAAATATGTTGTGCTTTACTTCAGGAAGTAGTTAAGTGACTTTAGAGACAGCAGGTTCTTGAGAATTTAGCTATGACACACCTGCCGTCATGTTTATAAGCACCATACTATACACTATACACCATAGGACTTCCAAGCTCAATGTATACACATTGAAAAAATCTTTACCAATCTCACTGCAGGACAGGTAACTTGTACCAGTGGTTTGCTTAATAATCATTTTGTCGGTGGTTTCCGATTATTCTCAGAGAATTTCAGACTTCATCTGGTGATGAAGGCGTTGCAATACTGTTGAAAGCTAAAGAACAATTCAATGTATTTGCCTTGAGGTCAGTTTATTCAAGACACTGAGGCTCATTAAGCACATCTCCATCATGAATATAACAGAACATGAACATTGGGGCATCATCTCATAAAACCGAGTCTTCACATGTCCAGCGTCCTCACGGTGTCATCAGAGAGCACTGAAATTACGACTTATGAGTCAAACTCTGGATCACAATCTATCTTTGATCTACATTTTAGACTTCATAGTATTAGGAGTGTGGAGAGCAGAAGCAGAGGCCGATTACTGTCCCGGGGTGCAGCGGTGACTCTTGTAGGTGCCCAGATGTCGGAAGCTGCGCCCACACTGCTGACAGCGGTAGGGTGTGGCCCCGCTGTGAATCCTCTGGTGGGTGTACAAGTTTCCCAGTTCTTTAAAGCGCCGTCCGCACTGAGGACATGCGTATGGACTCTCACCAGTGTGCACCCGTTGGTGTCTCTTGAGTCCTGACAGCACAGAGAAACCTTTCCCACACTGAGGGCAAGGAAACGGGCTCTGGGCACCGCTGTGAATTAGCCTGTGGCTTTTTAAGCGGGCTGCATGGCGAAATCTCTCCCCGCACTCTGGACACACAAAGGGTTTTTCTCCAGTATGGATGCGCTGGTGCTGCCGCAGGTTGCCGAGGTAGTTGAAGCGGCGGCCACAGTCCCCACATTCATACCCCCCCTCAATTTTTATCTCCTTTTTTATAGGACCCCCTCCTTGACTGATGCTTGCAACAGACCCAAATTGTGTGCTTCCCTCATTTTGGCTCCCACCAGCCCTCCTGGAATCACCACTGCTATCTCCCATGGAGGGTGTAGTGGAGGACGTGGACTGGAGTGCCTGGAGAGCCAGGGCTCCAGCAGAGTCTGAGTGTATTAGTTTTATGTGCTCCTCCAGAAAGAAAGAGTCAGGGCAGAAGGTTCCACACATTGAGCAGATGTAGGTGTGACTGGATAACTGCTGGTCTGAAACAAAGACAGTTAAATTTACAATGATGAATAACACAGCAGTAGGGAATAAATTGCATTACAGTCTGAAAGTGCTGTAACTAAGTTTACGGATATAATTCCTCCACTGTTATCGTCTTCGATGACATGTTCCAACATAGAGGAGAGCAGCTACCTGAGCTCCCCCAGATCTAGTTGTTAATAGTGTTGCATCCTCACTGGATATGACTTTGGATACCGTAACTACTCTAAGAAGAAAGTCTCAAATCAGAAGTGCTCTAATGGGGTGATATGGTCCTATAAGGTGGGTGGCTGCAGCTCAGGTGGTAGAGCGGGTCACCTACAAACCAGAAGGTTGTTGGTTCAATCCAGTCTGCATGCCAAATATCCTTGTGCAAGATACTAAGTAAGGGTGAACGTTGGACACAAACTATGCTGTTAAAAACAATATAGAAAAAGCGCTTGTGTGAATGAACCAGTCCACTGACTGATGAGATGTATGTGAGGAGCAGGGTTCTGGATTTAACAGGGAGCCAATGAAGGGAAGCCAATAAAGGAGAAATCTGCTCTCTTTCTAGTCCCTGTCAGTACTCTTGCTGCAGCATTTTGGATTAACTGAAGGCTTTTCAGGGAGTTTTAGGACATCCTGATAATAACGAATTACAGTCGTCCAGCCTAATAAATGCATGTCACTCTGAGACAGAATATTTCTAATTTTAGAGATTTTGCACAAATGGATGAAAGCAGTCCTACATATATGCACTGAAGGACATATCATAGTCAAAAATGACTCCAAGATTTCTAATGCCATGTGATGATCCTGAGCTCTGTCTATCCATGGAGCCAGATAACACACACCAGTTACTTAAACTGCAGGAAAGTCTTAAAAACAAAGACCTAGATGTCCTCTAACTTCCTGCTCCTAAATTCAGATAAACTGAGGTCATTGCACTAAAAATGTTAGCGATATGATATCTAACCAGATCTTTAACCTGGGTGCCATTGCTTTGGCCTGCATTAATAGTGTGAGGAATTTAGGAGTCATTTTTTTAACAGGATATTCTCAATGCACTACTGTAATGAATTATTATCACGTTCCCCCAAAAACTCCCTAAAAAGCCTTCAGTTGATCTAAAATACTGCAGTGACAGCACTGACAGGGACTAGAAAGAGAGAGCAGCTTTCTGCTATATTGGCTTCCCTTCATTGGCTCCCTGTTAAATCTAGAATTACATTGAAAATCCTGCTCCTTACAAACAAGGTTCATAATAATTTGCCCTATTCTATATTCTTCTTCTTCTCTTGGCTCTTGATGGAGGCGGTCACACTTTCTCCTTCTCCCTCTCCCTTGTCTTTCCTGCTTGGCTTCTCATGTCTATTGTATAGTCTCGCTTATTCTCTAACCCTAAGAGAGTCTCCCAGACTGGTTCTCTAAAAACCTAAAGAAGAATTATGGATTTGATCAACTGGTCCCTTAATGAAACTGACACCTTCCTGGGCTTGGGAGAGCCTGATTGTCCTGCGGCGACGTTTGCTGATGGCTACTCGATGGTAAGTTGCGTCGTGTGTCTGGCGACACTCTCGATGGAGGACAGTGAACGACATCTACCAATTCGGAACCACGATAACAGAGTTCTGGCTGATTGGACCTGGCTTACTGAAGAACAAGAAGCGGCTACAGCTGTTCAAAATCCCACAAGGCTGGCCGACATGATAGACGATGGACAGGGCTGTGAGTACTCAGACTGTGTTTTTGAATGCTATATGGATAAGATCTTGGAGAAGCTCATGGCTCTGCTATATGGATAACATCTTGAAGAAGAACAACACGAATTGAGAGACCTGGTGACCAGTGACAGACATTAGACCAACTGTAAAATTGGAAGCAGTTTGTTCGCACTAACCAAAACAACTACCATCTTCATCTCATGGCGCCAGCTGGATGCTCAAGGCAAAAGCTGACGGGAATAACAATCCTCCTTTGGATAACAAGACTGTGTTGTGACTTTCTCCCTCCTCATTCAAGGCCACCCGCGTCGACCGAAGATTGTTGACTTTTGTCTAACTGGGTGAAGGGACACTTTCTCTCGGCTGAACACGGAACACACACACACTCATACGCACACATATGCATGTACACTGACACAGACCTACAATCACCCCCCTCCTCCAAATGCCTTCGAAGCTTATGTCTTCTATGTAGTGAGATGTGCTGATTCATGTGCTGAGGTGTTTTTTTCTGTTCTCAAACTGATCTCCCTGTTTGAGTTATTTTTTCTCCTCGTCTTTCCTCATGTTATGCATTTTCCATTGTTCTCCAAAAGTTGATTCTGTTCATCTGGACGTAGCATTTTCAGTCTCAGCTGACTGCAGCTTTCAATCTTATAAACAGTACATTTGCATGATGACTGAAACCAGCCCACTGAAGGAACAATGAGCTGGGAGGTCAGTTCCTTAATCTTAATTATGCAAATTTTCATGACCATTGATCAATGAACTGAACTTCAGGTAAGAAGTTATGACCTGCAGTCTATCTGGGTCAGATATAAACCAAGTTTAGGTGGAGTTTATTTTCCTTGTGCTGACTTTTTACTGTCAGTTACAATAACTCGTACTGCATACTAGCTAGCATGACGGAGTTTCTATACAGCTGGGTGGTGCTATGATGTTACTGATAGTGAACTTTATTTTATTCATAAGGTTAGTTAGTAGGATTGCCAACCATGCCGTATAAAACGGAATCGTCACGTATTCAGAGAAAATATCAAGCGTTTCGTATTGAGCTGAAAAGGAACACAGTTTGTCCTGTACTTTAGCTAGAATGAAAAAAAGACACAAAGCTGGAGTCATTCTGAATCTTTACGCTGTCAGCTGCCTTTTCTTCTCTCATTCAATCATGAAACTGATCAATGATCAGCTGATCGGTATTTCTGATGCAAGTCCCGTCTCTCCTTTGTTTATCTCTGACTTTGCGCCAGAAAGAGGAAACCAGTGGATGTCGCGCTAAACAACAGCAGCACGTTTAAGCTTGATCAGCTGTTGTTAGAATTTATTTAATATTACTTTCTAGTATCAGCTGATGTTTGCTGGAGCCACAGCTGTAAAGCTGCTGGTCATGGTATCGGTTTGGATATGTGGTGAGAGGGAAACATGAAGATGAAACCAGGAGATGTCCTTACTGAATCATCAGAGCTGAACAGGTGATGGAGAAACAGGTTTACCTTTTAGGTGACATGAATGAGTTGAAGGGAAGTTATGAACTGTTTCTAATAAATAACACCAGGATCATTTTCTAAGTAGCGGACAGCTGGTAACTATGCAGGGGCGGGTCTAGGAAAGTTTTGCCAGGGGGCAGGTAGGACATTAACAGGGAGAGGGGGGCACAAAGACATACTTTCTTATTTTCATTTAAAATATCTAGCTTTTATTAAATAATTATCTGAAGCTTAAACCAAAGTTTTTATCTGATGTAAAATGTATAGAAATCATACATATACCAACAAGACTGTACATCACTGTCACCACAGCGTTTGTTTTCATGCAGTGAATTAAAAAATAAATGGCCGGGCCAGCGGTGCACATTGCAAATTAGCTCGCATAGACACATTAGTTGTACCGCTTCTTAATGACGGTATCTTAGCTAACAACCCCAACTACCAGATTCAACTTGTAATTGGCTAAAAATCACTTAGCCTACTGGTGAGAGGGACGCTGCTAGCTGTCAGTTTTTTCAAGCAATGTTGAAATTTCCACATTCTGACACTTCAAATGTTTCAGGAGCTGTCCGCTCAGCGCAGCAACTGTTAATATAGAGTGTTATTAAATTTATTGCTAATGCAATTATATGGCACATTGACTTCTGAGGAAATTTTAGATGGCACTCGTCATCAAAAAGGTTGCCTACCCCTGCTCTAGGACAACAGGACACACATGCTGTTTGGTTTCTGTGGCTTGATGGACCTCCAACCAAAGGCTGCAAAACTGAGTTGTGCATTATGTGAATGAGTGTTCAAAGGAGCTTACAAAGAAAAGCGGCTGGACTTCTTTAAGTTGCTTGAAGACGTTTCACCTCTCACCCGTCTTCAAGCAACTTAAAGAAGTCCAGACGCTTTTCTTTGCAAGCTCCTTTGACTACAATGACCTGGATGACTGAGAACCTTCACAGACATGTGAATGAGTGGTATTTGGTGTGTTAGCCGGCCTATTCCTGTTAGCTGCAACCATAAGAAAACATCTCAGGCAGTATGAAGCGTTTCCGTTGCAGTTCATGTAATGTGGTGGCTGTAGCTCTTGAGGTAGAGCAGGTCACCTACTGATTGGAAGGTTGGTGGTTAGATCCCTGGCTCCTCCAGTCTGCATGCCAAGTATCCTTGGGTAAGATACTCACCCCAAGTTGCTCTCCGATGCATCCATCGGAGTGTGAATGTAGTTAGAAAAGCACTCAGTTTAGAGTCAGTGCTTGTGAGAATGGGTGTGAGTGGGTGAATGTGACATGTTGTATAGAGTGCTTTGAGTACTCCGGGAGAGTAGAAAAGCGCTATATAAGAATCAGTCCATTTACCATTTGTGGAGAAGGCCTTTTTGGTTACCACAACAGCAAAGGAGATTCTGTCAAACGCAGCCATGAATCTGTGCAAATGGGACAAAATCACCAGATCTGAGAGTTATGTGGACAGACAGTGCACACAAATGAGGTGGTCGTGGAAATGTCAGAATCAGAATCAGTTTTATTGACCACGTATGTGCGCGCGTATACAAAGACAACAACAACACGTATGGTGCAGAGAGCAAAAATGTTGGAATGAAATTATGGGATAAATAAGGGATGGATAAGTAATTACATACAAAAGAACAAAACAGTGTATGCAATACGCTTTGATTTCAGCAGGTATGGTCCTGTACTATGACTGGTACAGGACTATGTGAATGTAGTAAGTATTCATCAAAGTGATGGCCTATAGAAAGACGCTGTCTTCTTGTTTTGGCATACAGTGCTCTGTAGCGCCTACCAGCACCAATGACTTTTTCTGCAGACCTCATTGTCCGTTGTAGTCTGGTCTTGGCCTGTTTGGTGGCTGATCCAAGCCCTACAATAATGGATGAGCAGAGAACAGACTGGATTATAGACTGGATCAACAGTTCCTGAGGCGAGACTGTGGATCCCAGAAACCTGAAGGTTTCCACAGCAGACACAGTGCTTTTGAGTAAGGTGAGGGGGGATAATGGAGAGTCCACAACTAGGGCTGGGCCATATCATACCGTTCACGGTAATACCGGTATAATGTTGGGCAAAAATAAGAAAATGACGCATGTGCAGTGCCTTTGTTTTCATACGCACATGGCGGAAAAAGCATGGCGGCGACGGAAAATGAGAAGGGCGAAAGCGGATCGTTGAATGAAACGGATGAACCAGAATTGGTTTGTAAAAATGCTGCAACTTCAGTGGTGTGGAACTGGTTAAGCTTTCATCCGTCAGATACACAACAAAGCACTATTTTGTCAAATGTTTTAGTACGACTTTGCTAAGCTACGAAGCCGCACTGCTTGATGGACTGTCGGAGCATTACGGCTATCGTAGGCGGAGCCTCGCGGAGTGATACGTACTGTGCTTCAACATAATGTTACCGTATTGTGTGTGCATAACCTCTTTTTAACTTTAGTGGATATTATACATGGTTATGCTGAGGATAAGTTGGACAATTTCCACTGGAAATGCCTTTTGGTTAAACTGTCAAGAAGGAATTTGCATTTGCAATGTTAAATGTTTATATAACTTTAATGCACATAAAAAACAGCTGCTTGTTTAAGTGAAAATACACTGATGGTTTTTTTTTTGCACTAATAAAGTTGTGGAGTTGTAAAGTATTTTGTTTAGTGTCAATCATATCGTCAGTTATATCGTTATCGCAAATTTTCAAATGTATATGGTGATAAATATTTTTGGTCATAGTGCCCTGCTCTAGAACTGGGCGATATGACCCAAAATTCATATCTCGATATTTTAGTTTTAAAGCCATAAGGTAAGAACAAAAACAGAGTTCTTTTTGCTGTGTCCCAGATGTCACACAGGCACTTTTATTAACATAGAGCGTAGATGTACATGAAGAAATTACTCAAAAATAAATTATGAGCATTTATTAAATAATAATGTTCCATAAATAAAAGAAAAATGTTCTTGTGCATAACAAAAAGCTCACAATTGTGCAGTCAAAATGTAAACTGACAGACGCTGAGCATAATAACAGACAGATTTCACAGCTGCTCTGTTCCCAAGTTCTACTGCGTGACTGACAGCCTTGAGTTTGAAATCCGCTTCATAACCACGTCTCTGAACAGGTGCCATTTATGGTCCTTATACACAGTACGGTAATATCACGTTGAAGCACAGTACGTAACACTCCGCGAGGCTCCTCGGTAGCTGTAATGCTCCAACAATTCATCAAGCGGTGCAGCTCCGTAGCTTAGCAAAGTTGTACTGAAACATTTGACAGATTGCTGAGCGCTGTGTACCACATAAAATTGGTTTGCGGTCATCAAGCACTACCAGAATTCATACATAAGGCGCGCTGTCAATTTATGAGAAAATGAAAGGATTTTAGGCCATGCTAGGCCATGGCGTTAGGCGGTTAGCTCACTAACATGTTGACGCTGTCCACCCCCATGCACGGGGCGATCCGCGGTAACTCGTTAACGGAGATTTGCCGTGTCCATCTTGTCATTGCCTGCAGGCGAAGCTATGGGGGGAGCTATGGGGGAGTTGTGTTCAGTGAAGGAGAGGCGAGGCCGAGTAACGTTGCGTAGAGACAAAAGTGGATGAAAGAGAGGCAAACTTACGGTGCCACAAGAATAGTTATAATGTAACATACACTATATCCATATAAACGATATTGTCACATCTTATATGTCGTATGAAAATATATCAATATTTAAAAAAAAAAAACTCGATATATCGCCCAGCCCTACCCTGCTCTATCCGCAACCGTCTCTAGTTTTGAGCGTATTCAGTTCTGTTACTCTGACTGCACCACAGGGCCAGGTGTTGAACCCCACATCTGGTAAATGGAGTGGTTATTATATAGCGCCATTCTACTCTGAGTGCTCAGATAGAGTAGAAAAGCACTCAAAGCTCAAAGCGCTTTATACAACTAATTCTTTCACCCAATCAAACCCACATCCACACCACACAAGCACGTTTTCTAAGTCGTTAAGTGCTTACTATCTAACATTCATACACATTCATACTGTGATGAATGCATCGGAGAGCGTCCATTCTTGATGAGTCCTGAACTTTGAGGTGTTAACTACTTTACTTGAGGTAGAGGCCATGTTGAATTCCCGACCTCTTTCTTATATATACAGTGATGCATCAGAGGTCCGTTTGGGGGAGACTCACTTCTATTCTGCCAAAGACTACACTTTCCCTATCTCAGACGATCAACGCAAGCTGGGGGGGTCATTGGTCGAGGATGAGTATGGGTAGAGATTCTTAACCAGCTTATGGAGCCACTGGCAGTGACAACTTGACAGACGGCTCTGAAGTGAACTGCTCTGGATTTGCTCTGAAGTGTTGAAAGTGGGAGATGTTGTCTTGACTGGAGACAATAACTGACCCTCCCAAACCTGGAGGATCGGGAGAATAGCATTTTTTTCCAGGGAGCGATAAACGCATTTGTTCATGTAATGTTCGCACTTGTGAGGAAGTTTGCTGAAGAGACCTGTTTGACTATCATATCCATTAGAGATGTAAGGTAGCTGGATACTGATGAACAACTGCTGATGGGGGGGTGAGGATGTTGTGAATTGAAATTAAATGACACTTTATGATATTGGGTTCAGCTGATTCAGCTTATCCTTCCTTGTCATTTATTACAGTGAATATATAAACTGCAGCTATGTTTAAACTGCTAGTGACAATCATTTTTGCTTTATTGTGAAAGGTATAGACAGGAAGTGTTTTTATTTTGAAATGCAGGGAATTATCCTAGTGCTGCTGCTAGCCTCTTGCTGATGTTATGAAGGTTATGTGCAGAATATGAAAGTTATGTATCCCTTGCTATTCGTCAACATCAGCATTTTCACCAAGTAAATATTTAGTTTGAAATTGTCAGTTTCAGTCGTTATTTGAAACGTCCACCACACAACATGCCTTGAGTTGATTATTGTTGTGAACCACCACTTAAAGGTGGGTGATTTAGCCTTGAAATTAAATCACAGTGTTTCAAATAAATTCACGATAACATTTATGACATAAACACTAAACAAAATTTCATCGCCGAGCGCAGCAACCAGGCAGCTGCATTTATTAGTGTGCACAAAATGAAAGTTATTTTCTTATCAAAGTTTCTGTCACTGATGACAGACAACCTATCTATGTGTCACCACCAGTATTAAAGTTCAGCTGTATACACTGACCTGGTATTGCAATGTGCCACTTGTAATTGTATGCAATAAGTACGGGGTTTTAAAATAATTCGCTACATTCGCACCTGCCTCAGGCCTGTCTGTGCAGTCCTCCAAAGGATTCCCTTCCTCCCCTGGAGAGCTCTGAGGCTCCATAGAGAAGTCGCAAGGCTGGGCACGTGACAGTGGAGTCTGTGCTTGCTCAGGTATCGACCCCTCCCTCGTGGTCGAGTCATCTTCATTCCCATCATTCTCTGTCTCAGTGGTGCAGGCGTTCTCATGATCAGGCTCCTTTATAACTGCGGCACAATAGCAGAAAAATCAGGGTTAATATTAATGTTCTACAAGCCAGTGGTTACCATATAAATAGACTGATACAACAGATCAAATCAATATAAAGACTCATTACTGGCAAAACTGTCCAGATCTAAAATGTTGATATATTATTGGATATTTTTGAACAATTAAGTTCAAAATACAAAACATGAATTTGCAGAAAAGTAAAAGTCAACAATGTAAATCAAATTTATCATGAAGTGTATGAATATATTATTGTATTACATTTTTATGCTGTTCATAAAAAGGTAATGATTGTGCTTGATGGTGATGTCCTGGAGTCAGGTGGACTGCCAGCACCACTTACCTAACCCCATAGAGGCCTGTATAGGGTTAGGGTAAATAGTAGGGGTGCAACGATACACAAAATTCACGGTTCGGTTCGATACTTTGGTGTCACGGTTCGATATTTTTTCGATACAAAAAAAATGTTCATGCCTTTTTAATTTGTCATTTATTAAAATTATAAATATATATTTTAACTCAAAAGTACAGTTTTTAAATTTAACCCTAACCCTTGTGCGTGTTTTTTATTTTGACAGCGAATGCGCACCTGCGGACCACTTATGTGCACCCCTGGTTATTTAGCTCGTCATCAGAATCAGAATCAGAATGGGTTTATTGCCAGATGTTGAGGTTTACAACATTAGGAATTTGCTGCGGTGCTTCAGTGCAAACAATAAGAATTAAAGTGCTATGTAGAAAGAAAGATATGTGCATGAGATATACATGAGATATATACATGAGAATAAGAATTAAGAGTGCTACGTAGAAGGATATATACATGAGTGCAGGTGATGATCAGTGCCAGACATGAAATGATGCAGTGACACAGCGTAGGGTCATGTGTGAGTGGCGGGGACAGTCATGTGGTTATTGTTCATGTGTCCAACAGCAGAGGGGAAGAAACTGTTCTTGTGGCGAGAGGTTCTGGTGCGAATGGACCGGAGCCTCCTGCCTGAGAGGTGTCATATTGCAGCCACAGAAATTCTTTTGTCCATGAAACCATAAAGCTGCACTTTCTTTTTGCCTTATAGTCTCATTTGTCATAACTTCTCCGTTTTGTGGTAAGCTTTTCTTTGGCTGTCACTTCTTCACCCTGACCTGTCTTATTTGGCTCAGCAGAACTAAAATATATATGCTGCTGCTTTTACACACGCACTCACATAAGCTCAGCGATTCTCTGCGCGATCAACCTCTCACATGTTTAAGCTGCGGGAGATTTCACTTGTCATGTTTGCATAGTAAGCTAACGATTAATAAGACGATGTCAGAGGAATTGGTGCACAAATTATCATCACTCACAGATCAGTACTGTCGCTCTCTATACACAGTTCGCACGATTGCAAAGTGAAAGCAAAAAAACAAGCGCAAATTCAAACGCGATTTCAATATGTCACATATTGACAGTGGATCACCGATGCCAATGACATAATTACCCAGCTACATTTCTGAAAGAATGCAAAAGCATTGACATATATTTTTCCTTCCTACAATAGCCCGACGGGCAGGGAAGAGATAGATTTTGGTAGCCCGACTGAAAAAATCGCTAGCTCCAGGACATTGGGCTAGCGATATTGCGAGCCCTGTATCTGATTGAGGAATCACTCATCTTTGGAAAAGAGAGTTTATTACAGAGAAATGTTTCTTTCCAAAATAAAAGCTATACTATCCGCTTCTTCTGGGCTATATTCTCAGCAGCATAAGGAGAATCATGTGCTAGCAGCTGTCTAAATGACTCGGCTAAAGTTAGTAGCATGCTTGTTGTTTTTGTCTTTGCACTAGGATGATGTCGGCGTAAATGTGCAGTCATATTCGTTGTGTTCCCACTAGTGCTTTCAGGTTAATCTAGTTGAAATAACCTTAACGCCACAACACGGCAAATCTCCGTTAACGAGCTACCGCCGATCGCCCCGTGCATGGGGCTAGACGGCCAACACGTTAACGAGCTAACTGCGCTAACACACTAGTTCCCACCCATGTAATTGAGCATTGCATGGCACATCCAACATACTGTTTTACTTTAGTCCATGACTCGCTTACCTTCAGGGTCATACGTCACATGAAAACCAAAATAATTCCAAACGCCAGATCTGAATGTTGCAAGGAGAGCTTAACTTCTGTCTCGCTAGCTTGCCCTGCGCTCATACTTCTGACTATGCTGTCTGTGTAGAGCGCTCAGTGGATCTGCGCTCGACAGTGCAGCCTAGGTGGAGTAGTCGAACGCAGATTCACTGAGCGCTCAACACAGACAGCATCGTCAGAAGGAAAGTTGATAAAATAAATTACAAATGTTGTATTGTTCGATACATATGCGTACCGAACCGAAAGCACTGTATCGAACGGTTCAATATCGATACGAATATCGTTGCACCCCTAGTAAGTAAGTGGCCCCCAAATAACATGACTGATTTAAAATGACACAACCTCGCAGTGTCTCGTTTCAACTTTTGTCCAAAGTGTGAACCAATATGTACCAGTTTTTTTATTTTGCTGACAGACAAAGCAAAATGAGACTTATGATAAATGATTTACACGATGCTTTCCATGAATGCATCGTCACATTTAGTGCAATAAGAAAAGATAAAAATGGGATTTTCTAAAGAAAGCCCTCACAAACAAAGTGCTTGTGAGAAAAACAAAGGAAAAACAAACATGACACTCCCCATTTCTGTAGGAAAATGCACCACACCAACCAGGGGAAGAGTGAGCGTGATGGTAAAAGATTTGTGACACTCTGCTTATTTGGAGTGTGTAGTTAGTGTGTAGTGTAGTCATTATTTTCTTTTGTGCATCCAAACAGTGAGCCAACTGTTGAATGTCACAGACGCTGGTAAAAAAAATCTACCAAAGACAGTTTGCAATATAAACACTGTCCCCACGTGGACAACAGGAGGATGCACCCTGAACGTGCTGGGCTTGTGATGTCATTAGTTATTTTGTTTTAGCAGCAAACTGCAAAAACACATAATTTGTTCCCATTTTAACACTACAAAAAAAAGTGCCAGAAATGGTCACTATGTGCACAGAAGAGTTCATGAGAGGTTCGCGTGTGAAACGCATGCTCAGTCATGCTTTAGGACGCATTTGGAGTTGGAGAGCCTTGGATGCCCTTCAACAAGCCTGGAGAACTACTTCAAGCACTTATACGTTTCTATATTGTGGTAAACACGTACTTGGCTCTGTAGTCATATTAGTCATCAAGTTATAAGTAAATAAGCATTATTTATGACTACGTCTATGTGTGTTTACCTTTCAGGTCTGAAGTGTATTCCATTGGTGCCATCCATTCATATTCATACATTCGCTTGCTACCGGAAGGGAGCATGCTGAAGATGTCATCTGTGGTGGACTCGGAATCTACGTGCATAGACACGGTCCCGGCCATCCCGCTGTCCGACCACAAGTTGAGGGAATGCGGGTCTGGCCCTTGGCGCACCTCCCTGTCACCGGCCTGGTCGCTCTGGTCTCCGTCCATTTCAGCACATCCTCTCGAGTTCTTGTCTTTCATCAGATAGTGACAAATGGCGTCTATATTTTCCTTCTTCACACCAGACATGAGCGCTTTGGCTCTCCGTGGGTCGATATTGTTGTGCTTGGCTCCAGAGCTGAAGTCATGTTTCTTGAAGCCAGCCTCTGCAGGCGGCTCTACGCTCGCCACGCCAGGAAATGCGTCCCTACCATCCCGCTGAACTGTATCCAGTTGTGCTTTTAACATTTCGATTTCTTCGCTTTTCTCGCGAAGTTCCATTTTCAATACTCTTATCCGGATGCTGACCATTTTACGGATCTCGGACAACGCAGTCTCCAGCACTACGGTGATGTTTCTCCCGAGGTGCTCAGTGATGTCGCTAACCGAGCAGAGAAGCTCTTCGTCGGGTTCCAGCTCCACGAAATCACCGTCAGCTGCACTTACTGACCCGGGAGGCTCCATGAAGACGCCGTGGGCTTCAGGAGACAGGCTCGCTTCAGTGAAACTGTGGTTTCGTTTGCGACTCATAGATTATTTGGATGGAGCGCTCGGTTTTCTTCAGTTTGGGTAGCTGGAAGCTATTTAGCAAGCTAATGTTTGGATGGTGCTGAGAGACGGTCGGATTGTTAGGTTTGCCTCACTTAACGTGACTGTTACCGGAAATGTATTTTCAAAATAAAAGCATTTCGTGCCGAATAGCTGTCTGGATGTAGGCTCATTACCCATTTTGTTTCGAAATGAGTGAATGGAAGTATTGTTTTCGACACGTGGTACTTGACAGACACAGAACAGAGCTGCAGCGTTTACATGAATTACTATAAGCCAAAAGCATGCACCAGAAAACGAATGCACTGCACTCAGTGAAAATAGGAATGGAACTGATCTTATATTTATTTCACACATAACTATACCATATAAAATCTATTTGAAAACAAAAGACATATCAGTGCATCTGTATATTTGCTGTCTCTATATAAACATCTGTATACTTATTTGTACATAATCTGTTCATAACTATTCCCACCTGTTATCCCCCCCACTCTGTGTATAATCTGCTCCTGTTGCACTTACTGCTCTTGCACTTCTGATTAGATGCAAACTGTATTTTACTATCCCGTGTTTATACATGTGTATTTATACAATACAGTTGAATCCTAATATCATTAGATACATAAAAACAACGTCTTATAAAAACAAAACGCTAGTGACTCTATCAATGTTATTATTGATGGACTGAATTTACAAGTTTTGCTGTTTTCCTGTTGGATTATTTTTGTTATCAGCATGAAAGACACATAAGTGCGTCGGTGGCCAAGGCGTGCCTGTTCTCTCCTCAGTCTCTCTCCTCTCAAAGATCAGAACAAAATCAGTGTTAGCTCAGAGTAGGTTAATTAGATAAGTATAATTCAAGTCATTTGATTATTATGTGATTATTATTATTACTTGGTTTGTTGTTTGCTTTGCTCCTGCTAAATTGCTTTACTAAAACAATCTTCAGAAAGTCTAAATTGTGGACATTCCCTTTTTAAAAATCTGAGTATTAGCCTTTGAATAAACAGTAACACCTTGGAGCTTAGTTTTCCAAACCACTAAATTTAATCCACCAAGTCCACCTATGAGCTTCTGCAACAGTGTGGCTGGTGAAATACTGGGCCTGCAAAGCTATTCATGACCACTGGTTTTTATCAGAGTAGGCAGGGTAGACATCTGGAGGATAGAGGCAGTTAGAACTGGGGGAGTCCCCTCACCCAGCAGCTCCATCTAACTTCTTCAAAGACTACTGGGTAATATTCACAGGAGCAAACATTAGGATTTCTTAAACAAAGAGCCGATTCAGATTTCCAGTATTGGGGTGCTGGCTCTACAGATTAACAACGCTTTTCAAAGCTTTTAATCAGCTCAGAAACACAGGCCTACATCATAATTTTAAAAAGTAAATTTTACTTTAAAATAAAAGCACATCTGAAATTAAGGGAGCACTGTGTGACATGGTTCACTGTATATATCTACAGGATGATTAAAAGTGAATTATGTATTAGCAAAAAAGCTGTTTACATGTTGTACATTTAGCCAACGATGTTTTTTCATTGATATGTTGATATTAAAGTATCTGTCCACCTTCTCTGTTTTAAAATGCAATAGATGCCCTTATCTGTTTAACGTGGAGAAGGGCATCTATACAAGTAGTTGTATGTTGAAATGCAGGGTTAAAGTGGACATGAAACTCCACATGTGTGAAGACTATTTGAAGCGTGGAGCCCTGCTCTCAAAAACTGGATTTAGGGAATAAGTGCTTAAAGTTAGAATTTTTAGAATATGTTTAGCACCATCTTGTGCCAGTACTAAGCATGACAATTACCCCAGCCTACGCAGCAGCAGAGCAGCCCACCAGACCCCCGACCGGGCCAGCCTGCAGCCCCAGAGAGGCGAAGGGGGGTGGGGGGCATGATGCCAATGACCGTTTGCCAGACAACAGCTGGTGTCAGCTCAACCCCTCCCAAGAACCCTCAATGTCTACGGAGTGCAGGAATAGAGTGCAAATGGCCAGAAGCAGCAGGTAGTGGCTGAATCTGTGATGATGTCGTGAAGCAATACAGAGGGTATACTGGCGCCTACAGCGAGCAGGAGAGTGCGGTTCAACTGTGGTATAGGCACAAATAAGAAAAGCACAAACAATCAAACATATTTAAAAAAAACTGTGGTACAGGAAAGAGGAACTTCAAATAACACAGGAACATGATCAGAGAACACTGCATCACAAGTTGAGAAAAGAACATAAATGAAGATCAAGTGTGTCCGCCTTTATGTGTGGAATGAGACACAAGGTTAAAAGTGTCCGTGATGTTTACAAAGTCCTTTGCCACTGGCTCATTAATAGAACGTGAACATTAAAATCCCTAACAATGAGGACACCATCATATAAAGCATAATGTCAGTCAAGAAACCATAAAAGTCAGCCCATCCATCCATCCATCCATCCATCCATCCATCCATCCATCCATCCATCCATCCATAAACACAGACAAACAGGCACACACAGACACAAACATGCATTGCCACCCTCATGCACACATATGCAAATACTCAGCACGCACCCAACATGGAGACAAACAGAAGTGAACACTGTACACACACCAACATTCTCATACTCTATGTAAAGTCCCCCCTCCCTGGACCCAGCAACCCCGCCGACCCTGGTAGGCACTCCCGTTCCCTGGAATCCACCAAGGGCAACAGCCTGCCCTTGGACCAGGGGTACTGCCAAGCCCCACAGACGCTGGGGCCAAGTGCCACACACCAACCCGGACCCATGCCCCCAAGGCCCAGCCAGAGCCCCAGCCTGGAGGTGGAGCACACACAGAACCCCAAGCCTGCCCCAGACCCACCTAGGTGCAGCTAGACTACTAGCCTGGTACCTATGTCTGCCAGCACAGGCCAGCCTCCATCCTCCTGCACACAGCCAACAGAAAAACACCACCCAAGAGCACATAAACCACAATAATGAAGGCAGGACAAGACCACAACCACGCGTCGACCTTTGCCTTCGGTCGCACAGACTTCCCCGTACAGGCACCAACTCCACTGGGTAGTCGCCATTTCAGCCACCATTCGGGCCAGCTCCTTGCCTTGCCGGCCTGGTCGTGGGTCTGCCGTGCCCCCCATCCTGGGTTTTGACATCCCTTTAAACATGCACGAGCCTCTCTAAATTAAATGAAATGGGCTTAGAAGAAAATCATCTATTTGATGGTAAGTCCCTCTCTCTAAAAAGGATTGATCCAATCCACTTCAAAGCCACAAAAATCCTTATTTTTGCACAGATTTGACCTTTTAAAGGCATGTGGTCTAAACTTTTGATCAGGACTGTACTGTAACACTGTTGCACAATTTTTGCACGCAGGAACATCTTTTCAAGGGTCCCCCAATGATGTCTTGAATACTTTGTCATAAGTTGAAAAATGCAACAGCGCTGTTTTCACAAACGCAGTTCGACTTCTCAAACACTTTCTGACCAAGAGGCACTGAACAATGAGGGCCACATTTAAGGCTCTCAAGTAACACTAGTCTCAGTAGCACTGCCTGTCAGCTCCACACTATGGCTGATGTCCTCAAACAACAAGCTCTCAGGAAGGAACAATGCAGCAAAGGTAGGGCTAAATCCGGCATCCTTTCCCTTTTACTTTGGCTGCTGTATATAAACTATGTAGAGCTGCATGGAGCGGCACTATGTCCAACTGTCACATCATACATGACAATTTTTCATTTTAAGAAGCTTCTTAGACACGCCTGATAGAATACCTGGATGCAGGTCTGCACATTTCACATTTCTGACTTTATATCATCTGTTATATTTTATCTGTATCATATTGAATATCTTTCTGTGTCAGAATGTGTAACTGTTATTCTGTTTTATAGAAAACTAACATAACAGAGCAACATCAGTGCAAATTACAAAATGTAAATTCTTGTCTGCATTTTTCTTCATGATCTGGCATCGTTAGGCAAGAAGCATTTCTTTACTTTCTACATTTTGTAGTTTTGTAAGTGCGATAGATGATCATTTTTACATTTAATCTCTGTCAAGTAACCATTTCTTATCTGCACTGGGGTGAAGCATTTACATATACACCTACTCAATGACAACATCAATTATGCATTTCTACTTTAGCTATCAGTTTCCACACTACTGTTTCTCTGTCTGCTATCGACTCACATTTCAAGTCTCGCTTTTCATGATACTGAATCAGTCATCCCCATTCCCTGTGCCCTATAAGTTGCTATTTGGTATGCAACAGCAGCTGTGACTTCAGTCTAGGTTCACGCGTACTACTCTTTATCGTGATTTGCATGCACCAAGAATCACCTAAACTGCCCTTCTGTCTCTCATCTCTGCTGTAACATCAACCCAACACATACGACTCATGTGCTTACCTTGTCAAATCGGAAAAAGAGACTAAATAAAATGTACCAAAATAAAGCGATCAGTTTGCTTTCATCTCAAACATAGCTGTCATAACCTCTGGTCTTTCACTGATGGGAGACCAGTGTACAAAGCAGGCTGCTGCCAGCTCTGCTTTGCGTGGTTGTTGAATCTGCATATAAGAACATCATATATCCGAGATGAGTAACTTAAATTTGTCATCTAAACATAATTTAGTCTTGTAATTGTCATATATATGCGTTTTCTCTGGAAGCTCCGCCCCCTGGACAGCAGCTCAGTTCACCATTGTTTGGAAACTTTATTGTGGTCTGGAGATCTACACTTTACAGGTAAATACAAATTTAAAGCTAAAATACCAATGAGAAAGAGCGTAGACCCTTTATATATAGGTAACATTTGGCGGTAACATTTTTTTTACTAGTATGTTGGCTGGCCAGGAGCAACGTAAGGCACCAGTTAGCTAATGTTAACCATTGTCAATTGGTGTGAGAATCAAATCAGAAATATTCAAATATAATGTGAGTTAAGATTATTTACATTTTTAAAGCTAAATTAACAGACCATTATAAACTTTTATCAGTGTCTGGTGTTACCAGCAACAATTACAAAATTATTATTATTAATGTAGCTGCTCCTTTGAAAGTGTGTCAGCAGTAACAATATCCACACACAGCCTTGGGCACGATAAACATGCAGAACTGCAGAAACTACAGGGTGGGCCACTTATATGGATACACCGTAATAACATGGG